CCCCCCCAGCATTCCCCAGGAGAAGCCCCAACCGTGTCTGATCATTGGGGAAAAGGAATACGAGAGGATCAAGGAATCAGCTCAAGCCCCAGCTGAGGAGGAGCGTAGGGACAGGGTGAAAAACCTGACAGCCAGACAGGACGCTGCTTTTGTGAGCACCTCCCCCTTTTCCTGCTCCCCCTTTTCCTGCTCCCCGGCTGAGCTCGAGGGGTGGTGGCTTTGTCACCAAGAGAGTCCTCTTTGTCCCTCACGTTTTGGGGCACAGGTGAGGCTGCAGAGCTCGGGGGTCCATTGAAATTCCCTGGAGCTGTCCAATCACTCCCAGCCCTCCAAGGGCATGGGGTGTCGACCCAGAGGGGTGGGAAGGGGTGCCCATGACCGTGCCATGGCCCCAGGAGCCCATTGTGTCCCCGCTCTTTGCTGGAAATATGGGGACTCACATTGGGAAGTTCTCCAGGATTGGGCAGCACTCCATGTCCCTGTAGGAAGCCCTGAAAAAAGCCCAGATTGAGAAGCAGAGAAAGGCAGAAGAGCAGGATAAGAGGCACCATCAAAAAGAACTGGAGGAGGAGAAGGAGGAGAGGCAGAAGCTGCTGCAGAGGGCGGCGAGGATGAGGCTGGAGCAGGATGAAGAGATGCGGGAACTGAACGCGGTAGGGCCGGCGCTCCCCGCTGCCACCCGGCCCTGCCKGAGCCTCCCCTGCTCCTGGCGCTCCCAGGCTCTTCCTCTCCTTCCCTTCCCTCCCTGCTCCTCCAGGGCAGCTCGGAGCCACAGAGCCCTCTTGTCCCCGCAGATATTCCTCAACGCCAAGTGCAACATGATCCGGGACAAGCAAGTGCTGGAGAAGCGCATGATCCACAAGGAGCTGGCGGAGGAGGAGCTGCGCCTGGACAAGATGATGGAAATGGAGCGCGAGAAGGGCATAGAGATCCAGGAGGAGCTGGAGCGCCGCAAGAGGGAGGAGCTGATCAGGTGGGCACAAATTCCAACCACACCGGCATTGCCACGGTGGGGAGCAGGACGGGGCTGGAGGGAACCCTTCCACTCTCGTGTTCCCAGAGCCAGGCAGGACATTGTCAAACAGATGAAGAAGAACGCGGAGGAGCGGGTGCTGAGGACTGAGGAGAAATTCGAGGAGGGTCAGAAGCTTCTGGAGCACGTGGAGCAGATGAGGAAGGAGGATCAGAAGGTGGGAGCAGGAAACAGGGGGTGCAGGGAGGATTTTCAACCAGGCTGGGATGGATCAGCCACACTTGGGGGTGATGACAGCAGCCAGCAGGATCAGAGCTCTGGTTCCTTGGGGACCCAAACCTCCTTGTCCTGAGTGAGGAGGAGGAGGGAGCACACTCAGCCTTGTGTCTTCCATTCCAGGCCTGGGAGAAGAAACTGGAGCGACAAAGGCAAATCCACGCCGAGATCAAACATTTCAACATGGAGAGCCAGCGGATGCAGGATGAGCAGCGGGAGCGGGAAAGGCAGGCGGAACAGCGGGCCCTGGAGCAGCAGCGGGAGAAAGCTGTGAGAGCAGTGGGCAGGGGGCTCAGGGTGGGCAGGGGGCTCAGGGTGGGCTGGGGAGGGGCCAGGGGCTCTGTGCCCCATCCCATGGCTCTGTCCCATCCCATGGCTCTGTCCCATCCCAGGGCTCTGTCCCACCCCATGGCTCTGTCCCCCATCCCATGGCTCTGTCCCATCCCATGGCTCTGTCCCATCCCATGGCTCTCTCCCACCCCATGGCTCTGTCCCATCCCATGGCTCTGTCCCCTATCCCATGGCTCTGTCCCACCCCGGGGCTCTGTCCCATCCCATGGCTCTGTCCCCCACCCCATGGCTCTGTCCCACCCCATGGCTCTGTCCCCTGCAGGAGCGCGAGGCTGCCTGGGAGGCGGAGCAGCAGCAGATCCGCCTGGAGAAGGAGAAGGAGCTGGCCCGGCTCAGGACCATGCAGGAGAAGGCCCAGGACTGGAAGGCAGAGCAGGTGAGTGGCCCTGGCACAGGTGACATCGCTCCCCTGCCACCAGCCCTGTCCCCAGCCCAGC